TCGGTAATTCGTAAAAAGCCAAATGCATAACTAATATTATTGCTCATGGTTTAGAACGGTCCTTCGAAATTACCAGTCCATGGTCACTGACCAACTCCACAATACTATAGTTGAAAGAAAACACACTACTATAAATGTAGCAAAGTTACACCACCGTCATCAGCTGGGTCTAAAAAACAGCTCAGGTCATTCTCAGCTGATAGTCGCCGCTTTGAGTTATATACCGAACCCATGGAAGTGCTTGGTATCTGATGACAAAACACACTCGTGATCAGTGCCGGAGTATGAGTTGGCTTCCCTCAGCTGAACTTGAAAGTTTCGCCACTAACTCTGGAAGGTTGCATACGAATTCGGGTATAGTGAGCAGAAACCGGAAAGAATTTCTCACAATTCCCTCATAATTCCCATAATGTAATCATGTAGTTGAAAAGGTGCATATTCTCTCACACGGCTCGTGCTATTATAAATTGACCGAAGTACGATTACTAAATACCAGAGCTCCACATTCGGATCCGGATTTCTTCGATGAACTTCACTGAGTAGTAAAGGGTCTCAACGACTATGATCTATGCGGGTCGCTACGTCCGTCAAGTTCCACTCGCCACACCACCTCAACACTGGAGAGAACCCGACAGTCTTACCCCGACTTCTCCACAATTTTCAGATACCTCACAGTAAGACCACTAACGGTGAAATAAGGTATCTCAAACTTCACTGAAATCGGCTTCTTTGCGTAGAGATCCCTGAAAAATTAGAAAGGATAGGATGAAAGTCTATTTGAATTCTCAGCAACGGTGGACTTCCTATATTGTGAAGAAGACATTGCTATGCACATAGCCTTCTATCCCGATTCGATTGAGCTCTTCATTCACTGTTTTCACTGAGTTCACATGAGCGTTCACGATAGCGCAAATTATGAGCTTTCGAGAAGCAACCTAACACATTCGTCCTCGATTTTATTTCTCATCTATTCCTTGCTTAGTGAAGCTATCGATCACGTTAGACTAGCTCCCTCCAGTGTTCGGATGAAATAACTAAGATTCCTATCTTCACAATATCAAACGATGAGCAACGCGGATGGTGGCACTCATTAAGACTGTTTTCGGCTTAGTAACGGATGCCCTATCCGAATGCATAACCAGAAGCGCGTCGGACCCTACCTCGCGGCTTCCATAGAAATACTGGGCAATCCAAAGTTCGAAGTCATAATGTAATCCTTCTGACCAGGGAACTGCTTAATCGACCAGATCACACAGTCCTTCTCCGGATGGTACTTGACCGAACCTAAAAATACCAAATATGAATCACTTCGCTCCGCTAAGATACTCTCTAACCTGTGCTGGCCTTGCATTGAGGAGTGTCAACATCACCGGGTACAGGAACATGAATCTCAACAGAATTTGCTATTGACCTGCCAGGAATTTCGTGGCGCGTGACAAATCATCCCGCGTTTCCCACCTGCTTTTAAACTGGCTTTTGACTTTGATCATCACTTCCAGTCGCCTTCCCGACTGGCTTGGGTCAACCACCGCCTCTACTGTAATCAGCGGCTTAACTGGAGTGTTCAATCGGTAACTGAAAAAGCGCGCGCCCAATAATAACTCATACACCTCATTGACACACCTCATGAGCTCGAACTCGCCATCGGGTGGGATGAACGATATTGTCCTATCCTGTTCAAAACGACTGAAGGGAGTATCAATACAAATATTGCAGCGGAGCGAAGCGATTCACGAATCGCAAAAATCACCTGAGTCGAACACATTGGTGAAACTTGATGTCTTCCATTTCGACACCTTTCCCCCCTCGGCTCGATCCGGCCGTCCTGACGAGAATTCAATTGATAATTTCATGGCGCGCGACATATTACCCGCCAGCTGCTAGCAACTTGTCGTTCAATCCGAGCTTGCATTCTGGCATTCCCGAAAGAAACGATTTCATTTTCAACGATCCCAAAATCTCCGACCTAAAACACGGCGGAGCGAAGTTTTCTTTCGGTCACTCCAAAAAACTTTTTTGCTCACCTAAGAACTTGTCCATTCGCTGCTACCAATAAATTCAACTTTTCGATCACATCGAGGAAGATTTCGTTCTTTTTATGCTGAGAAAGGCAGGTATACAAATCGATCAATCGGGCGAGCGCTAACCTTAATGCCTTCAGGCCTCCAACTCACTGCGCTTGTCGCTGCTGTTGGTGGAGCTTTCATTTTATCGACTTTGACTTTCTTATATTCCGTTTTGATGTATTCCCGAAGAATTTTAGTTTCGGTAGTCTGAAGGAAACACCGCCTCGAACTGATACGAAAAAATTATTTTTTTTTCCAAATTTTACAGAAAAATTCTGAGAAAAATTCAGAGGTGCGACTGAGGCTAACACCACCACTAGAAATGTGGCGAGTAAAGAGTCATAGTAATAGTATATAACTACTGCAATGACATACCGCGCGCGCCACAAAAATCTGTACACAGTTTGTCAACATACCTGCGGGTAGCCATTGTCCATCATTTCATCCAACAGCTCGTAAGTGAGAATGAAGTTGTCTTTGATATGGTCCTCATCAACCGTCTTGAAATAATCCCTCAAAACCTAAAATGAATCGCGATAACACAAAAAAAGAACTTCGCTCCGCCTTTTTTCCCCAAGACTTGCAATGACATTTGGGCACACTGCGCGATCACCGCGGCTAACGGTGAGTAGATACAACTAGTCACTAGAAGTATTGAGATCGACGACTATGATGTTGAGTTCATGAATTGCCACTGAACAGCGATATTGCGCTCTTCGAGCGTTATCATATTCCAGCCAGCCGCCACAGACTGCGGCGCCGCGCACGCGCCCGATTGTAAAAGGTATACAACATAGAAACTATTCATTCAAGTGAATATCAGTGTTGGAAGAATATATGTTCGCTTACCTCATCTAACTATAAAAGTTTCCTCACTAATAATACAATTATACCAAAAATCCGACCTAAAGTGAAACTCCCAAAATTTTCTCGGAATTTTCCATACTGTCACCAACACATGTAGTTCACCACGTGCATATATTCCCACATACTTCAGCCAACTTGTATAGATAGGATAAAATCATCATCGCGTTGCCATTTCTCTGTGTGACCGCCATGAGGTAGATATTATTATACTGTATCCAGCAGTAGACGATACCATCCTCCACGAAAATCGGCTGAAATTACAACGACATCAATTTCGTGGCGCGCGAAAAAAGTATTAAAAAAACTACTACTGGTCATTTTGCAACGAATGAAAAGTCACTCGAGAATTCCGCATGCAAAAATCTAGGAAAACTTTCAGCAGTCCAGATTGTGAAATTCCACAACCATCGGAGAACGCAGGTTCGATCCCGACCGGAGGCTTTCTATACCTTCACACACACATCTTCTGCATCAACAACGTTATCGATGAAATGGTCAGTTACGGTTGGGGGGACCTGCAGGAAATACACTTCGAGTTTCGCTCTGATGTAAATCTTTGTTATAAGAATGGATAAACCAACAGCAGTGAGGAAAACACTTTTTTACACGTAAACCACGAAAATCTACGAAAAATTTTCTTCCAAAAAATGAGAAAGTAGCGATGTACGGTATGCGCGATCTGGAGAGTGCGAAACTATTTAGTGCGGGAAATTCCTCACTGAAAACTTGAGAGGATAGCTCTATAACCGTATTATTCTGAAAACCTAGTTTCGTGGGTCAGTTTCGTATTATTGGCACAATCGTGCGCGTTATCCGAATTATTAGAATAATCATGTGATACAAAAGTATTACAATGCCAAGAGGTACCAGTAGAAGATTATCCAAGATCTACGATCCTATACAGAATCAGAGACCCAGCTAGCCTTGGGAAATGACGTTTCCCAGGCTTTGATAACAATGGGAAAAATCATTGAGACTTTTACATTGAAAATCGTCCGAAGAATGTGCTCCTAGCCAGGTGGAAAGTTGAAAATGAATTCCCCCCCCCCCGGTAACTTCATACGTTTCTGTACAGAATCAACAAGTAGCGATGTTGACAATTTTTTCCATCACTATTCACAAGTCGAGAAATTGAGAAATTCTCACCACAATTCTACCAACATCATCATCAGGAGCTTTCCGGTTTTTTCATCACAAGTTGCCGACTACTACTACTACCTCTCCTCGATAGTTTCTCCATATAATAGCCTTACCCTTCAAATCCAATATATAAACAGCCGAGGCACCGGACATGGGTTGGGGTGGAACAGAAAAGGCAGTAAGCAGCCACTGAGAGAATGAGAAATATGATGATGAATATTAAACAGTGTTGGAGGATCTTCATATGGTCAACTGCATGTGTTGGTGACAATATGAAAATTGAAAATTCTGTATACAAATCACTTGTAAACTTAAACAATTAGTGAGGAAACAAACTCCTGAGCTCAGCTGATGAGGAAAGCCAACGTATATTCTTCCAACACTGTTATTGGACCGGTGAACGAGATTGAATACTGCCAATTTTCCCTATGACGTTTCCGTGGACATTGCTTTGTTGTTAATCGCGTCTACAATATAGCAATGTTGTTGTTTTCAGGAAGTCTTCATGCTACAAAATTCGATCAGCAGATTTTATCAGGAGTTTCATTTTATTTCATTTCATTTTCATTTCATTTACATTTTATTTTCATTTTTTTCAAGAGTTTTATTTTATCAGGGACACTAATTAAAAAAGGTTATATACAAATTCGGGTAGAAGCCGACCAGAATTTCCCGAAATTTCCTTAGAATTTTCATATTGTCACCAACACATGTAGTTGACCATGTGCATATTTCCTTTCCAACCGGACTTTATGTGTGTCTTCTGAAGGTATTACGATGATTCTGAAAAATCGGAAAAGTCAAAAAATGTTTTTTCGTTCCGAAGTGATTCACCGTGATGCAAAAGAGAAGTTGAGAAATTTTAGTGGACTCTTCTTCGTACCACAATTTTTCAAATATCCGTGAAGTCGAAAGAACCGCGCACGCCCTGATGCGAATCTGCGTTGTCTGCCACTTCGAAGTATCTTCTTCTTGTCGTCCTCAATGAGCTCGAAAGATTCCTCGTCAGAATCCAAACTGACCGCGGAGGTCGTCAAATTCATGAGGGGTAATATCAATATTGACTCCTATTGAAAAGTCGTTTATCAGAAGGAGATTCTGTGGCGAAGACAAGCAATGGTAATACTAACGATGTGATAAAGGAGGCTATCCCTGTATCGGGGCTGGTGGGAGAGGAGACGGCTAAGGTAGTAGAGCTATGCAAATCAGAATTACCATAGAAAGTAATTTTTCAAGTGGAAATTTTTCACTTCGGAGTAGTTTTATGATGATAGTGTCAATGTTCGAGTGGTGACTATGTGGAACTCGATATTGAATTTGCATCTGGAAAATTATATGTTTTTACTCCTAGTAGGAGTAAACCGTGATAACTCCTTCATCTGTTTCTTCACTGTTCCCTTCTAATCACGGGTGTCCTCAGCTATAATACAAAATCGTCGTATTCGAGAATCGATTTCCGTAGTGAACAACTTCCTCTAGTTATATAAACTCTTGTTAGTTTCTCGTTATGTTCCTTTTTTAGGTAACCGTTACTGAGTATACCAACCCAGAGGCCTCTCCGCGGAGTCAAGCCATGCCGACAGCGACCACCCGAGCGTTGGCTAGTGCTCATCGATGGGAAGATTTGGATATGACAAATGAACTCAGGAGGGGTATTTTGGAGAAGGGCTTTATCAAACCTAGCAAAATTCAGGTAATATTGGGGAATTTTCCCTGGGAATTTTTCAGAAAAAAATCCCAAAAGAATTTGATGGTATTTTTATCAATGGTATGAAGTGCATTGGGTCTTTGAATGACTGAGTTTGCCGAGATTCCTGCAATTTTTGGATATCACTAACGTTTTATGAGGGGGAAAATTTTCACAAGTGTTTAATCGTTGAGTAAAGTTTTTGCTCCTTCAGGAATTGGTCCTCCCTCTAATTCAAGATGGTCGTAATATCATCGGCCAGGCTCAGAACGGTAGTGGGAAGACGGCTACTTTCGCTCTGGGTTTGCTCAGTCGAATAAACTTGGGGTAATTTCGTGGCGCGTGACGCTGGGTGGCATGAGTTAATTATCAGGTTGAAGACTTTCCAAGCGTTGATCCTCTCGCCGACCAGAGAGCTTGCTATACAGAATCTGGATGTTGTCGAAGCGTTGGGGAAATACACTGGTACGGAAAGTGGGACGTTTTTACGCGATCATAATCGTTGATATAGCTCGGTGCAGGACGGAATATTTTGCGCGGGGCCGATAATCGTTGGAGATATATCTCAGGTGTTACAACGCAGCTTGTTGTTCCTAATGCTCATGGGCTACCGAGGAATCCTCGGGAAGGACGAGTTACCCAACAGGTAAGAGCGATGTGTGGATTGGGGGAGTATCCGAGGTTGACTTTGGTAAGATACGGATCATGCCCGATATTCTGCTTCAGATATTGTCGGGAACTCCAGGGAAGGTTTTGGATCTGATTACTAAACGAGTAATTGATACTCGTAATGTGAGCATGTTTGTTTTGGATGAGGCGGACACTATGATACAGGTAATCGTTGGAAACAGACGGAATTTTTCACCCATTTTTTAATCACATTCATCGCTTGCCATCAATCGTCTGCTCCTTGAATAATTGGGGTAGTATATTCTGTAGACAATTCTTCCTCTGTTTTTTTGTGATAAAATTATGGTATATCATATTTAATATCTTTCTAAATTTAGTATTCCATGTGAAGTGATTTGAGACACATCTTTCTCCGTGTAACGAGCCCTAAAGCCACTGGTCCTTATTATGTCTTGAAGAAAATTGGTACTCAATGCTATGATATAAGCGTCGCTCCCAAGAGTACTACTGGTCGTGGATGGTTCGTAGTTCTCGTATCGGTAGATTCGAAGGCGAGATCCGGCGTTTTTCTCTCTTTTGTTCAGTGGTTATGGTGCGGGGAAACCCCTGTAAGAGTCTATGATGGAATGCTCACTGTTGATACTTCAATGTAGTTTCGGTATTTTTCCACTTAGTTGATATTCCACCTTTACACTAGTCTTGAAATGTATAAGAATTGACACAGTGGTTGAACGATTTTTTCTATAACGGTTTTACTCTCACCTCTGCTAACGTTACTCTACGGGAATATTAAAGCAGGTACATAACAATATGGGAGCTGCTGTGAACAATATCAGATCTGTGCTGCCCAAACACGACCTTCAAATTTTACTCTTTAGGTGATATTTTGTGTCCTATCGATCACTTCTGAATATTAATTTTGTGGCGCGTGACGTTTTTGGTGCCTTTAGTGCGACGTACCCAGAGAATGTGCGTCGATTCGCCCTCAACTTGGTACCTCATGCTAGCAAGATACAGGTGAGATACAAAATCGATCACGCGATCGATTTGGCGTATCTTATGTTGAACTAGGTCAGCAAGGAGGATCTCACTTTGAGTACTATTTGGCAAACGTTCATTAACACTGGAAAGAACTTCCAAAATAAGGTTCAAGTAGGTGGGCAATTCTTTTTGTCACTGCACCACGAAATTATTCTGCACCTTTTGCCCGGGCTGTGCGGTAAAGATATTCAATACGACTATCAGATAATCCTGAATTTTCCGAAAATTTCCCGAGAAAAAATTTCCTCATCACCATTTTTATTTTTTGTCATTATGAATTTCCTCCAGTTGTTCCGTTCAGATCCTGTCTGATCTATATGCAGCCATGAACGTCTCCCAGTCGATCATCTTCGTCAATTCGAGAGTTACTGCTTTCAAGTGAGGTCGTGGGGTCACCATAGAGTTGGTATCGTCTCCAGTGTGGGAAAAGGGGCATATGGTCAACCACATATGTTGGTGACGATACGGAAATTTTGAAAAAAAATTGGAAAATTTCCATTGATTATTGTCTACTTATACCCAGGCTCGGATGTGAACTTGTATGATTAGTGGGGAAACTCCTAAGCTCAGCTGAGGAAAACGAACATGTTTTCCTCCAACACTGTTCGCTGCATTGTTTTAGTCTGGCCAAGTTACTGCGTGATGAAGGGCATTCAGTGTCGTTGATATGTGGCACTCAAATGAACGGAGCGGAGCAAATAAGTCCGGAGTATCGAGATAAGATTATGGACGAATTCCGCAATAAGGTCACGAAGGTAATTTCGTGGCGCGCGGTCATGGACAGAGGGTTTACTCCTGGCAGGTTTTGATAGCGACTGATGTTCTAGCTAGAGGAATAGACGTGCCTGCTGTCACGTTGGTGGTCAATTTTGAGTTGCCGATTGATTATTCTGACGGACCTAATAATGGGAAATGCAATTACGAGACGTATTTGCATCGGATCGGGAGTAAGTTGATTGGGGAAAAATTCGGAAAATTTCCGCGAAATTTTATTTTTTCCTCTTTAGGGACAGGTAGATTTGGCCGTAAAGGTATTGCGGTTAATCTGGTATCAGAAGGAGAGCTGGAGTTGGTGGCTGATATCGAGAATTATTTTCCGGGCACGAAAGTTGACGAGCTCACTGTTGATGAAATTGATACACTCGAAGATAGGCTGAAGAAACTACGATAGAAATAGTCACGTTTCCAGTGGAGTTTTATTTTGTCTGTTGTTGTTGTCAATACAATTTCGGGAATTTCGTGGCGCGGTGACGGTTGAATGCCGAATTATGTTGAATGCCTTGCTTGAGTAGAAGCTAAGGAAGGTAAGTTACCCCAACGCGAGGGTTTATGATTGGGAATTTCAGTGGGGACACTCGTGGGCAATTTTTCTTGGCAAGGAGGCGACTCTACCGATCGTCATCATCATGGACTTGACTGTTTATGATCATCGACTTGCATCAGTTGGGTGTTGGGGGATCGTCTGGTCACTAACTCGATAAGTGAGATGTTTTTGGGTGTCGGTGTCATGATGTTGTGAATGTTGGTGCTGTGAGATTGTTGTGTACGAGTTTGGAACGGAGTGGTATGGATATGTGATATGCAGCCCTACGCCCATATGTGTATGAGCTGGATTCGAATAGTATAGGTTGGACCTGATCTGTGTCTTGCCAGCATCAACCTAAAGATACCACGATGTTTGATGGCCAAGACATCCGTCGGCCTCCTTAGCTGCCTCATCGTCTCTTTCCTCCACTTAGCCGAGCTAGCCCCTCCTGCTAGGGTACTCATATACTTAACCTGATTGAGATTTCCGCTACTAGGTCGTTCGGATGTACCTCGACGTGTCCTTGTCGATTGTGTTGGTCGAGTCTGTTAACGGTAGCTTGTGTGGCAGCAAGGGTGAGGTAAGATTAGCAGGTCTGTCGAGATGGGCTGTTTTCGGACATGTTTCAGATCTTCTTGCAGAGAGCCTTGGGTGCGTGGACTAATCTACCTCTTGATAGGGTCGGGTTGTTGAGTTGCATCCAACTAGTCACAATAACAACGCCTACCACAGCACCCCAGTCTTGGGTATCATCAACACCAACGACAGATCGTACTGGCTCATCTTCAACTACTAGGGCGGTAGGGGCTGCATGGCTCCAGGCGTGAGTGATAGGTTACTTAGGTGACATCTACTAGTGTTGTGTCCACTACGAGGACCGCAGGTGCGGCTCTGTGTGAGTTATCGAAAATGTGTATGTCGCTTTGTGAAGATACGACTCGGGTTGTCGAGAGGACAACTGCAGGCGCGCCGAGCCCCTGGGTTAGGCCGGTTACGATGACGTGTCCAACTTTGGCGAGAGGGAAGGCGTTGGATGAGGTTTTACAAGGCACTGAGGACGAGGCGAATCGGTAAGGAATATTGGTATTGTATCGATGCTGCTCGAGAAGCTAAGATACTGCGTGTCGGTATGTGGCGTTGGAAGCTGGTGTAAATGTAACGTTGCTGAGGGGCAACCTAAAATATGCCAACATGGCCTGCTTGCTCAATGCGGGTGAGTGGGCGTAGCGAGAATGGGGGTTTACCTTGCTGCCGACGCTGGACCAGTTATGGAATATATATTTGCTATTCTCCGCTGAGCTCGTGAGAATCGTATAGAAATGTACAGAAACCAATGAAAATTTCCTCGCAATTTTCAGTATTTAGTTGACGATGTGCATGTTTCCCTACACTGTACTAGATAGGTACAGGCTGTGCGACTGTAGTCATCTCTGTGGTGGGGGTGGACGTATCTTGGAGGAGGAACCAAAGCCATTATTACGTTATGAGGGATCAGTTCAATTTCAAGTAGAAGATCTCCACGAAGCTCAAGCAGTGCTGGACGTTATTCGATATAACCTTAGCGGTCTCGACAGTGAAATCAACTTGCTCACAGAGGGAGGGCTCATGAATCCTGCTAAGGTGGGAAGCTTGGATAAGAACACAACTATTCATGCTCGAGCCACAACACGCTCGGCTCAGCTTCAGCTTGTCGGTATTTTGTCGTCAGTTCACAGTGCACAATCGTATTATTCTCTCACAAGCTTACGATTATAATTGATAGGTACCGGTTATCGAGGTATTGGACCCATCAAAACCCCTGACGATGAACCCAGACTTCCTCACCACTATTACGGCGACTATTTACTTGGAGGTGTTGCCGCAATGGAGACCTTCTATTATGGAAGCTCCTTTGTCGGTCGCGGTAAAGACCTTCTTTCGAACACGACTGGTGGACCCCGAAGTGGCGATACGGTTAAGTGTTGAGATAAAAGTTGAAGTTAATAACACAACCCCGCGACTGATGACGGAGATGCTCGTCGATCAAGAGTCTTTTTTGGAGGCTGTGCGCCTCGCTTTGGGTCCTGGTGTGTCCGTTGGTCATTCTATGCCGAGCCTGCTGGAGTTCGGCGCTGATAGTTCGAATGAGCAGTCCCCATTCCCAGAAGGAAACACTGCTATGAAGAAGTCAACATTTACCATTCTCTTGTGTGTTATATTGACGGCCTCGACTTTGGGGACAGCTGTTGGCTGTTGTGTCATTTTCAAGATTGTTAAGGAGTACAGGCGTACTGGTGTGCCGAGGGATTTCGAGTTGGGCAAGGCGGGCGAAATAGCAAGCTCGAGAGCAGACGAAGATACAGCTTTCACGTCTATCAGTTGTGGCGCAATGCCGTCCAGATCGATCACGATGTCGGACGGATCATTCGAAGGTAAGTTGGTGTTCATGGGATCCCTTCGAGAAAGTGATGCGTAGTATTTCCCCATCAGTTTGCCTGTTGTGTGTTATTGTTTTTCATACCGCTCCTTTTTCAGATCACGTCCAAGCTGCACCGAGCTCGTTCACAGCTTACCATTGATCGCTCGAGGTCGTCGTCGTCGGCGGGGGTGCAGCGGCTCTGGACAACAGTGAAATTCATTCATTATCATTGTTATCGTTTGTTTTTTGACTCTTTCTTATGTAATTCAATCAAGTCATGATCGCTGCATGGTTCTTCTGGTCATAGCGTATTGCGTTGTTGCTAGCAGTTTTCGATGATGCTGTGATCACCGAATCGTCAACAATCACATGACATGTTCTCCAATAGGTATCTTCTCTCAAAAGGTTTCTTGAGTATCACTGAGAGTAGTCATTCTCAAACACTGCCTAACTTCTGGAGCAGTTCAATAGGAACTTTTGATCGGCTGACCTCTCCTAGAAGCGTTATTGCAAAGTTGGCCAGATGAAATAGGAGATCCGAGTCCTAGAATCGGTCCGAATACTCATTCTCTCAGAGTTTGAGAGAATAAGCATCAGACTGCTCTTAAATGAGTAGCTTCCCTCTATGTGGCCCATTTGGCACGCGTCTCGCATGAGCAATGTGGGGACGTCTCCAAACTCCAACTCGCCGTACTTCCTCCCCCTTCTCAGCCTCGTGAGCGCAATGGATAGTCCGCTCAGTACGGTATCGTGGAAACAAGTGTCACTTATTTCCACGGAGTCACTGACTCCGTCGAATCAAAACGCCGCTGTCTTGCTGAAGCAGCCGAGGATATTCTCTTACAATTTCTCTTAGTAACATCTTCAAGGCCAAAGCGTCGCTGTCCCACATATAGGCGTTGACGCCAAAAATTCCTGTTTGTTAGTAGTCGATCCTCAAAGAGGGCATTATAGTTCCTCCTCCAATGCATCGCGCTGACTAGGTATTCCATGCGGGAATTACTACATCATGACGTCCGGTTAACGCTTGGATGATCGCCTTGCCCAAGCTAATCTAGCACTCTTTGTGAACTCTAACTGTCCCCCCTCTACATGAACGGTCTCAGTCGTCATTGACCTTGCTCCATAAATGGCCCTCCATTGAACATTTCACATGTCGTAATATTACGAGCAAATATATGTTATTCCGAGTTCCAATCAGAATTTTCAATAAAGGAAAATTCCTCTTATGAGCTCAACACATTAAAGTAAGTACACGACACTGTAGTGCGATCCAAGGGTTATTGAGTCTGGCGTGGTATCATATTCCCACGCACAACTACTAAATAGCAATTTCCCAGCAACACACAAGAGTCCTGGCAACATTTCATATGTCGTAATATTACGAGCAAAAGTGTGTTATTCCGAGTTCCAATCAGAATTTTCAATGAATGAAAATTCCTCTTATGAACTCAACACATTGAAGTAAGTACACGACACTGTAGTGCGATCTAAGGGTTATTGAGTCTGGCGTGGTATCATATTCCCACGCACAACTACTAAATAGCAATTTCCCAGCAACACACAAGAGTCCTGGCAACATTTCATATGTCGTAATATTACGAGCAAAAGTGTGTTATTCCGAGTTCCAATCAGAATTTTCAATGAATGAAAATTCCTCTTATGAACTCAAGACACCAAAGTGAGTACACGACACTGTAGTGCGATCCAAGGGTTATTGAGTCTGGTATGGTATTATATTCCTTCGCACAACTACTGAATAGCATTTTCCCAGCAACACACAAGAGTCCTGGCAACATTTCATATGTCGTAATATTACGAGCAGAAGTGGGTAATTTCGAGTTCCAATCACAATTTTCAGTGAAGGAAAATTCCTCTTATGAACTCAACACATTGAAGTAAGTACACGACACTGTAGTGCGATCCAAGGGTTATTGAGTCTGGCGTGGTATCATATTCCCACGCACAACTACTAAATAGCAATTTCCCAGCAACACACAAGAGTCCTGGCAACATTTCATATGTCGTAATATTACGAGAAAATATATGTCATTCCAAGTTCCAATCGGAATTTTCAATGAAGGAAAATTCCTCTTATGAACTCAACACATTGAAGTAAGTACACGACACTGTAGTGCGATCTAAGGGTTATTGAGTCTGGCGTGGTATCATATTCCCACGCACAACTACTAAATAGCAATTTCCCAGCAACTTACGAGCAAAAGTGAGTAATTTCGAGTTCCAATCAGAATTTTCAGTGAAGGAAAATTCCTCTTATGAACTCAACACATTGAAGTAAGTACACGACACTGTAGTGCGATCCAAGGGTTATTGAGTCTGGCGTGGTATCATATTCCCACGCACAACTACTAAATAGCAATTTCCCAGCAACACACAAGAGTCCTGGCAACATTTCATATGTTGTAATATTACGAGAAAATATATGTCATTCCAAGTTCCAGTCGGAATTTTCAACGAAGGAAAATTCCTCTTATGAACTCAACACATTGAAGTAAGTACACGACACTGTAGTGCGATCTAAGGGTTATTGAGTCTGGCGTGGTATCATATTCCCACGCACAACTACTAAATAGCAATTTCCCAGCAACACACAAGAGTCCTGGCAACATTTAATATGTCGTAATATTACGCGCAAAAGTGTGTTATTCCGAGTTCCAATCAGAATTTTCGATGAATGAAAATTCCTCTTATGAACTCAAAACACCAAAGTAAGTACACGACACTGTAGTGCGATCCAAGGGTTATTGAGTCTGGTATGGTATTATATTCCTTCGCACAACTACTAAATAGCAATTTCCCAGCAACACACAAGAGTCCTGGCAACATTTCATATGTCGTAATATTACGAGCAAAAGTGAGTAATTTCAAGTTCCAATCAGAATTTTCAGTGAAGGAAAATTCCTCTTATGAACTCAACACATTGAAGTAAGTACACGACACTGTAGTGCGATTCAAGGGTTATTGAGTCTGGCGTGGTATCATATTCCCACGCACAACTACTGAATAGCAATTTCCCAGCAACACACAAGAGTCCTGGCAACATTTCATATGTCGTAATATTACGAGCAAATATATGTCGTTCCAAGTTACAATCAGAATTTTCAATGAAGGAAAATTCTTCTTATGAACTCAACATTAAAGTAAGTACACGACACTGTAGTGCGATCTAAGGGTTATTGAGTCTGGCGTGGTATCATATTCCCACGCACGACTACTAAATAGCAATTTCCCAGAAACACACAAGAGTCCTGGCAACATTTCATATGCCAGGACTCTTACGAGCAACAGTGTGTTACTCCGAGTTCCAATCAGAATTTTCAATGAAGGAAAATTCCTCTTATGAACTCAACACACTAAAGTAAGTACACGACACTGTAGTGCGATTCAAGGGTTATTGAGTCTGGCGTGGTATCATATTCCCACGCACAACTACTGAATAGCAATTTCCCAGCATCACACAAGAGTCTTGCGAACATTTCAGACGTCGTAATATAACCCGTCGTGAACGATAGATGATGTTTACGCAGTAGACAAGGTTAGTTGTGGGTGCCGCAATGACCGTTTCATGTGGCGCACTACGCAAGATTCTTCGTGGCAGTTAGAGTGGAGATCATCGATTGATAGGTTATCGTGAATCTCGTCCATGATCCATTCGATTGCCTTGTGAGAAGTCTTCACCTCGGCCTCCGGCTGTTAACGTTATTTTAGCCCGCCCTCCCACGCCACGGTGGAGATGATGCACGAGTAACTCGTGACGAGTAAAAGCAAAAAAAAAACTAAAAGCAAACTCGTGACGAGTTTGCTTTTAGCTGCTCGGCTCGTGGTCATCTCGCAGTACAGGCTCATAGACCTCACCATACCTACGGCCCTACCCTGGAACTGGACGTCGGTGGTCTACGACCTCCGTCGAGATAGTCTCCGGTTCCTGGTTTACGGGCCGCAGGTTTGCAGTCTGGTGTTTCGGTCTGGCCTTCTGCTGCGCTCACCCGAACTCTGTGGTTGTAGGAAATGTGCGGCTTCCCCAACTAATATAGTACACTCGGCAAGTTGGTAGCCTAAGAAAAGGTCGTCGCAAGTGAGCTTTCTACGACTCTAGCACAGTCGTCGGTGTCTTAGCCGGACGACGCAGGTTTGAATCGCGCACATACCTTTTTGGGTGGGCATGCGTGCGGACTTGATACCACTCCTCTCTCAACGCAGCCAAGATTCAAGCAATAGGCAATGGTGCCCCGAAGTACCACTGAGTTCCTCTGAAGAACTTTTCTTCGTTGAAAATTCTACTTCGAACTCGGAACCTTTTTTCCTACTTTTCATAACACCATCCGACCCCATCTTCTCATCATACGGTCGCCCGACCATTCCAATGCTTGTTGGAATCTGGAACACCCACACTCCGGCGTTCTCGATTGATCACGACAATGAGCGGTCGTTCGTCTCTCCCAAAGGTGTGTACGAAAACTACATCGCGTTCGTCATTATCGAATTGTATAGGGAACCTCCAGGCAAGAAGCTTTCAATTTCGCCACTGATATCATCTGACACTTTCCTCCACTTGCTCTCTTGCAATTTCTCAACACACCATAGCCATCCACTGACTAACACCACTCCCCATCAACTTTGCAAAACTTCAGTTATTTTTATCATCGTCTTTTTCGTCAACTTTCCGACGTTTTCTAGCTGCCGCCAATCGCTGCTTCATCGCTTCTCGACGGCCCATCGCTCGGGGAACTAAAATGGGTAAATTATTCCGGAATCGAGAGAAATTACCACATGCCCGTTTACATTCTTCATCTCTCTTCAATCGTGCTTGTGCAGCTTCTGCCTCAGCGTGGAATGCATCAGCGGCGTCCCTATCCTCTGGATTGTACGTCCTAAAAATACACCACATGATTCAATCTCTCTCCCACAAGGGACTCAAAGTCGGCACCTGCCGGGGTAAAACCTCCCAACACACGCATAATTTCCCCAATTCTCGATCATCATCATTCAGAATAATACTATGCCAAGTTTTCCTCATCCTTGAGACGTTCACCAACGACCAATATAACTCAAGAAATGTGATTACATCTGGAGGCATCCCCATTCTAACCTCTCCCGAATTCACCCATGATCAGCCAAAGCTACTGCGGACCCCGATAGTACCTCTCAAACACTTGCCGTACTCCGCCATCCATCCCCTTCACCTCACAGTCCTCCTCTTTCGACGACGATGTAGATCTGAGGAAATACGCCAACGCCTCATTACAATTCTATCCCCAATGCCCTGAGACAACCCAATGTTAGGAAGGACTTTAAGACTACAGTACAGACGACACTTACCATTAACATACAACCATCTACAAAAGACGAGTACAGTGCTTCCATCAACCACATAAGTGAGAAGATGCGCCCACAGTAGCACCTTCTCTAACCTCCACATATTCATGCGATATTAGATTCACTCATCACGCTACTTCGATTACGGCTGATAATCACCAAAGTTGCCCCCCCCCCGACATTACCTCTCCGCCTCCTCATCCTGCCATATCTCCATCTGCTTCACTTTATTACCAAAATTAACCAGTCTACCCCCACCAACAGCATCATCATCACCACCTTCTGCGGCTGACCGCATCAACTGCTCATACAAGCTCGCCTTCTCCTCGAGCTTCCTGAACAGTGGATTCATATCAACCATACATCTCAGAAACGGGAAAAGTCAACTCCAGAATGATAAATCGTAAAATATTCCTTATTCTTCTCCGGAATTTTTCTAGAATTTTTTCTTAAACATGCACATCATTTACACCACCCATATCCGATCGTATAACCATTGAAATAATAATGATGACCAATATTCACAGACCCCCATCCTAGTTTTAGAATCTGTGTTGGTCTCCCTCACTTACTATGAGATGTTGCATATGGTAGAAACGTACAGGAAACAACAAAAAAACGCAGATTTTTCCTCATTATTTCTTCACTATGTAGTCGGCCATGCGCATATTTCCCATATACTACTGCGAAAAACTCCGCATGAATTTGCGTGGTAGGACCTTGCACACTGTATGTCCCTTCGTGCTACTACTTCCTCACAGCATCTTCATTCCGGTCTCCATCATCATTATCATCACGTCTATGAGGTCGGGCTAGCCTCCCTTCCTTTTTCAAGGGCCGTACTCTACCACTCTCATGCTTCCTCTTGCGTTCAGTCGCATCCGACTCTCCATCGTCGATCATAGCCTGAAACGTATCCAAGGTTCACGCGTGTAAGATTCAGATCATGCCCAACATGTCCTTTCGGGAGACAATATAGCCTATAGAAAATCATCACCATTCAAATAACAACTTCGATGGTCCTAACTATGCAAGTAGCAGTGAGGCAGTGTTGGAATATATGTTTGCTTTCCTCAACTGAGTCCAAGAATTTCTTCACTGTGCATGTACAGAAACCAATAAGAATTTCCTCAATTTTCCTCAGAATTTCCGCAAATGTCACCTACACATTTAGTTGACCATGTGCATATTTTCCCACACCGCGGTGAGGAGTTTATTCATTCTTACAATATGGCCTCAATAGAATACGCAATTGTCCGTAGCTTGCAACATCTATGGTAAGTTTGAATTCCAGATTTTACATTTTTTTCATGGGCGCCCTGTATATCGATCGTCAACCCCTACTACCCCGGAATAGACATCTAATTCACCTCAACCTACAGTCGTTGGAGACCCAATATTGTAGTAGAAATCAAATACACATATCTCGATCAAGATAGAGCTGATAGCATTCAAAACGATGATGCTAGGCATGCAACACTACTAGAACTAAAGTGACAGGAAGTAAATAAAATAAGTATGTAAATAGTGTAAATAGTATTAGGTGTAAAAATCATCATAACACTACTAGTAAGGATGTCCCTCACCAAAAAGGAGTCTCCTATACGCTACCCCCTTCTCCCTTCCAATGCTACCTTGAGTACGTTGATATCATGTTTAGCAGATCCCCCATAGGCTTTCGAGAGATCAACTCTCTCGGCCTTCTTTGGGATCAACGATGATTCCGTTAACCAGCCGAGAGACATACGGCAAAAGTTCCAACTTCTTATGAGGAGGAGGAGGAAGTATTTTTCGAGGGAAACAGAATCATACACGGTAGACTATACGAGTCACAAGTGAAACGTTCATCATCACAACAAATGAACAGAGCCCGGAGAATTTAACTTTGACACATTTCCTCAACGCATAATTTTACAGATTATGGGCGCGCGCGATAGAGAAAAACCGGGGCGTGCGCGAAACGAAAATTAGTTCCGCTCATATGCAGAAGAAAAACAAGACTTTGTCGGCAATTTTGAGGTCTGTCTCATCCGGTTTAGTAAAGGTAGTTCCCCGAGGCACCTCGAAATTAATCTCTTTTCCTCGGATATCACAGTTTATTGAAACACCTGTGGAATTACAGCGAGGCAAAGGTGTGATTCGTTCCTATTTGAATT